CGCCAAATACCCGGATTCCATATTTATGACCGGCCGGTCGTCTTCTCCTCCGTGTTGTACCTAACACGTCGCTCACTCGTGCGTTCATCCCGTGAAAGGAGACGGACACTGAGCCGGAGCTCCAAAACAGGCTGCTGCCCGTCTCGTTCTCACTCCTCTCCTTCGCCTCCCCCCTCATCTCAGCAGCTATAAATTTGTTTCGTTTATACGACCGTTTTAAAATCATTCCCCGGTCAGGTGTACACCTTGTTAAGGCCTAAACTCGTGGCCATTTAATCGTTCGAAACTTGTGGCTATATATGTGGTTAGTACGGCCTCTAGTCCCACCTACGGTGCACTTTTGTACTCCTTTACGCCATAAATTTGTTATGAAAAATGTTAACGTTTTCAACTCGAATATGATTGATGGAAGAAGGTAATGCTTTCTGGTTAAAATTATTCGAGTACACGCGACTTTTTTGCTCGATGTCAAATATGTGTTATTTTTGAGAAACACGATGAAATTATCATGGTGGTTTTGTATCGATTTGGACGTTTGGACAATTTGTCGATTTTTCTTCCGCCGCGATGCCTTAAGGGCAATCACTAAGTCGACAACTTCTGTGGCGGACAGCTCAGCTACCTTGAAAATCTATCTCGGATATGTCTCGATTAGTTCGCGGCTGGACGGTTACGATGCCGGCATGATATTCCATTACGAAGGAAATGTAAATATAATTGTAGCGTGCTGACATAACGGTAAGATAATCCAGCGAGCGGAGGCGCTGCCACTGCAATAAATCGTAATTTATGATCCCTATATACGCCCGCCGGTATCGTCGAGAAATTCAAGACTACACAGAACAGAGACTTAGAAGACTTTCTTCTCTTTCTCTCCTCTGTCTCTTTCTTTTGAATTCATCTCTCTGTCTCTTTTTTACCTGCTCTCTTTCTCTTTCTTTCTTTCTCTCCTTCTCTCTCTCTCGCCTTCGTTTCTATTCCGTTCTCATCCCGCTCTGCGGAACGACTAAGAAGGCAGAGACTCTCGATCTGGGTCCGATGGGCATACTTACAATGTGCTGCCTTACCTCCATAATCTATCGCCGTCTCTGTCCAGTCTCTTCCAGCCTCTGCCCCTCTCTCCGACGTGGATCCGCTAGTTTCTCCATCTTTATCGCGCCCGTCCGTCTCGTTTATGTCTTGTTCTCTCAGCTTCCTCTCGAGCTCTTGAGCACCAATAAATTAATTGCCGAGATTTACGTATCTCGCCCGTAAACCAGTCAGCGAGACTAATGCTTGGCCTCTAATTACATAATTATATGGCATTATGTTACGACGGTCAATTAATACGTACGTACAATGATTCAAAAGCGTGATTCGCGATAATAAGTTAAGTTTCCTTCGCGATCACCGTGCGATTCCGCGCAAAGTGTCATGCTTCAAATCACCGAATACGCATGTGATGCATGCGCCACTTCGATAAGCGATCGTAATTTATCGTCCGCATGAGGATGACAGTGAACGCGCGTCGGTTATGCTTTACGGGCGAATATCACGAGCGATTCCCGATTCCAATCGCCTTGCGCTCGCACGAAACGTTTCGTATAGGGGATATTACGCATTCCATGAGACATTTCATATCGTAATGATGGCCTCAACAATGGCGGGAATGCGTCAGAGCGCAAACCGATATTGCCTAATGCCGTTACTCGGTCTTCGAGATTTCGCTTTTCCGCCTTCGCGTAAATTTCGTAAGATCGCTCCTTCGAGGGGTGCCTCGATGACTATTGCTTCCTCTCAAGGACGCATTCTCGTGGTTTCGAAGAGACATTTTTCCCTCAACGGGAAGGAAACGTACGGTATAAACGAGCGGGGGTGGAATATGAGATGCGGGCAACTGATTTATTTAAGGGGCAGGCCAGACATCCGGTTTGTCGAATTACGCTTTAAGAGTGCCCGTAGTAGACTGGCAGATACAAACGGAGACGCGGGACGAACGGGACACGTACGTGCGAGCGAGAGGCAACGACGTGGAACAAGAGCGCGTAGCTCGTCGACCCGTTAACCGTTTATCATTGCATCGACACGAGTCACGCGGTGGACCCTACTGGCCACTTAAAAAACGGCGATTCAGCCTTTAGTAGGAAGTGACGTCAGCTTTGGAGGTATACCGTGAGCCACGTCTCTCTAAACGCGACGTAAACAGCTTCACTACACACAGATTTCATCATACGACCGAAGTTTGTTGACTGAATGATGATAATTTTATGAGAATATTTATCCCAGATTCCTCGACAATTAGCGTTAATCGCGATGTATTCACTTCACATGATTTTAGTACAAAATTTGACGATGTCATTATAATGTCTGAGAAATTGCTTAAGAATTCCCGCAGCTATCGCACGCGACTTTTGGATTAATTAGACGCGACCTTCTTCGAGGTAGTCTTATTGAAACGATGTCGTTCGGCCAATTATTGTAAGCACGGTCGGCCGATTATCCGCCTTGACAACCATGATCCCTCGTTTTGCGTTGGATGCCAGTAGGAAACGGTCCGGCGACGACCGATGCATTATTAATGTCCCCTTACTCGTTACCACTCTCGTATTTACTTGCTCGTGCAATCTATCGGCATCCCTAAGCAAATAGGCATTCAAGAATCGTGAGTAATTAGTCAGATCAAACAGTGACTTCTCATTTCATGCCCATTGTGTTCCTGCCTGAGATTTCCTGTGACAAGAAAGTCTTCGCTTAATTATTTCATGTAAATTTCTTCGTGAATTATCATTACATAAGAACGTTCACGTGCTCGTATATTTCATTCAAATTACATTTTTTTAGTTCTTTGAGCCAGTCATTTTCGTTTTTTTTATTCGAAAATTTAAGCTCTATTAGCTCTTAAAATAAACACATAAAATCAAAAAAATTTGCATATTTTTTTATTTTCTTGAAGCTGAAAGCACATATCTTTAACCTATCAAATAATAGATATACATTACTTTTTTTACAGCAGTTATTTTTTGTTCTTATCCACAAAAACTAGCAATATATAATATATGTAATTATAAATACTTTTGTGGCTTATTTGTTATATTTCGCATAAATTTTATCGAAATGTCCGTTCATGCCGGCTCCTGTAAACCAATAAATTCATGTGACGCGTCTCTGCTCTAGCAGATTCTCTAGAGTTGACCGTGTAACGATTTCAGACGAGATACCAGAGCAGGCAATCGAGGGAGAGAGCGGGTCGGTATATTATCGCGAAGATGACGCTTATGACAGCATGTGGGAGTAGCTGTCACTCATTGTTGCCTGGCCAGACTTGATATACCCAGACATTTCGCTTCGTGATATCGAGAGATTCGTCTGCTTCAAATTCTTGCCCTTCAACCTCCGGGACGAGATCAATAAACTCACAAACACCTTTTTTTTAGATACGTTTTATAAAAAGTACGAAAAGTTGGTTTCAAAATAATCGCTATTAGGATTATTTGATACATTATTTGAGCGGAAAAATTCGCGCACGCGAATCTGTGCTCGAAAAATAAAGTCAGTGACCCTGAAAAGTTCATCGTGTGTACGATCGTTATGAAGAATCATTCAATGAATGCTCCCGTCGCCCGCTTATCCCGTGGCCGTAATAACACTTCGAAATACATTAGCGGGAAGCAACGAATTGCTTTGGATTGATCTACGATTTGTTATTCATATACTGCCAAGTAATTCGTGCCAAGGGGGGGGGGAAGTTGGTTGAACTCATCGATATTTCCTTTTTCTCCGCGATCCTACGAAAATCTCATTCATGTACACTCATCAATAATCTAAAACATTTTCTCATTCATTTCGCTCATCGGTAATTTCTATTCAAAACTAACCGTGCACATTCACGTATTTACGTACGGCGCTTTGTGCACATTGCCGTCGAGAACTGATTCACAAAACAAACTTTACGTTTCGCACGCGAAAGTAATTCCGCGCGTGTCCCGACGCGGATCCGCAGACGTCTCGTTTCTTTCCTCCTACGGCGGGAGATTCTCTACGAGCGTCATTATCACACGGCTACACCTACGGAATAAACGATTGAATATTTACGGCGGACATTCGTCGCGCGCGCGACTTCTCCCAAGTAAATCCGTTGATTCGTAAGTCGTGCGCGTCCTGTCGGGCTCCCCCGAATCATTTAGGTATGCCGGCAGCATTTTCGTGGAGAGATACGTGTGCTCCGTCTTTAATCGAGATCGAAATCGGTCTGACGCGCGCGCGATCATCAATGGTCCGTGTACGGGGTGTCTGCGAGAAATCGTGAAAATTTCTTTTAGAAATTTGAAGAGTATATTATTAAACAAAATCATTAAAAATTAACTGTCGATGACGAGACGTTCTATTTCGCGATGTATTTTGGAATGCTCGATAATAAAAATGGTTTAAATGTAACATTATACTTTAATTTGGTGAATGTTACATATTTCGTGGAATCATATGAAATTAACGTTATTTCGTCGAGTATACCGAAAAGCGCATCGTAAATGGCCATTAATTTTAATTCTGTCTCATTCAAAAAGTCGAGTGCTCGATCAGTCGATCGCGTTGTTTTTACATGCTGTTTGTAGTGTTTATGTGGTGTCTGCGATTGAAAAGAAGAGTTAGAAATGCCTTGTATATGTACGCGCGTGTTCAGCGTAGATAACGAAAAAAATTCCCGACGCACGTTAACATGACACGCGCTTCACAAGCCAGATATTGTTATTTAAATAAAACAAAAGTATCAAAAGCAAAAATAATATATAAAAACGATATTATTTCGCAATGGATGGTGATCGGTTTTAAAATTTGAAATCTTCCTTTTTACCTAAATCAATATTGATGTATCCTGTGTAATTAATATTAAGAAAGAGTAAAGAAGTAAAAGAAAATGCGATAAATCCGCGAAATTTGCAAAACATAGATTTAAAAATGCGAATAAAAAAATTCATCAAGATATAAAAACCGTAAGTTAATTTGCGATCTTTTCTGCATTACAGAGGCCGCCTTCCTCGTCGCTTTCGTATCCCGGCGCGGGTGCTAACGACGACGCCCGTAGCCCCGGAAGTGGTGGTACACCCGGTCCCCTTAGCCAGCAAGCGCCAGCCAGCCTTGACTCATCGGACCCAGGTAAGTTCGATTATTAAAAAGAAAATATACGTAATATACCGAAATAATTATTTTATTTGCATTGTATTTATAATTTATTGTTAATGGCAAACGCAGTTGCCTGTTTCCGAATATATTAACGTTGGGTGTAAAAGTGGCGCCCTGTCGTAAATTACACGTGCGCGTAGGTGACGAGACTATAAAGAATTTTCGGATCGATTGGTCGTGGACGACGGATCGATAGGACTTAAAGTAGGTCTTTTCCGCGCGCGAGGCGAGAAACGCACGTCCAGGCACGGACACTCGCGCGGGTGACGACGGCTAGGCAGGCTAATGACAATATCACGCGACGAGCAACGAGTTGATGACAATCAAGACGCGCGGCTAGTTGGGACCCCACGGACCCCCCCTTCTACACGCCCTTCAAATTTTACGAACACGGACGCGAGTGTCTACACCATCAAACTTACGGCGAAGCCACCGTCGAGCCTAATGAGCAGCTCGTCGCATTGGCGTAGTCAATGAGAATGTTGTTGCACAACGATAAATTATTATGTTTTATTTCTTTGAGCAACTAACGTTTTTTCTAAAGCTAGAGGCGTGATATAAGATCACTTTTCAGTTCCATTGTATTTGCACGAATATTTCGTTGCAGAAAGGCATTTCATTGCCTGTTATACTACGACGTGATAACGAAAAATATATTTCTCTGTATCTTCTACCGTTAGCGCGCAGTATTGAGAACGTTCGTCGAAGGAAAAGTTGGATAGTGGCGAACGAGCCGCGCCAATGGTTAACGCGACCGGGTTCAGTCAGTCACCGGGAGGGTATACAAGTTCACGACATCATCCCATAAAGATTCATTAAGGTCCGCCATTCTCTATATTCGTTCTGTCGTGCCAACATTATAGTGCCGCGTGGCGTGCCAGTTCGGCCGGGCGTGCACGCACATACATACGTGTATAGGGGCGAGAAACAAAACGGTTGATCAATAACAATCATAAGCGCGGACTATCTCGCCGAACGAGAAGGATTGGGCGAGAAGAAGAGACCGATGACCGCTGATAATCGAAGAAAGAGGGAACGAGAGAAAATGAGGGAATATAATGAATGGTGCGGCTTCTGAAATGGTACCGCGTAAACGCTACGAGTTAAGAAGCAGTCTTGTTGCATCTTCGTCGTTGCCGGTAATGTTCGACGATGCAAATGGAGCGCGTGCAACGGCCATTTCGTGACGAGATACGAATCTGCCGCCGCGAGATTTGTCGCGGAAAAATGTTGACGAGGGCCTCGCGCGCAAGTTTCTTTCAGCACGCGTGCCGACCGTCCTTTTAATTCCGCCAAGTACTTAGTCGTACAAGTTCGCGACTCTTGCGAACTCGTAAGGTGAACGGCCTAATCGTTTATCATAAGCATAAGTGATTCAAATTAATGTTTTTAGAAAGCAATATGCTCTCCAAGGTTTAGAATTATACGATCATATATATACGTATGATCATTAGATCGCTATCGTTCTTACGTCGTTATTTCGGAATGAAGAAATACTGAAGGTAGGACAATCTTCCCGCTACTTCCAAATTACAAAATAACATTGGCCAATTCTCATTCCCGCGGTAATGATATCGCCTAATGGAAATTTCGCGTGCCGACGGCATTTACGAATGTTTCTGAACATTTAATTACAAATTTAGGAGCGTACAAGGGAACGAATTTTGTAAGAGAGAGAAAATAATATTGCCTAATATGTCATACATCATTATTTTCCTACCGGTTGAGAAGAGTCCTCTGAAGACAGAAATTTTCTTCGCTCTCCCGTATATAGTACACAATCCAACAATGTTAAGTCATCTTCAGATTTAATATCCGCGAATTGAGCGTGCGTGTATCGCGCGTACGGGTTACAGCTAGTTCGTGACCAGATATCAATCTCCGCGCGCGAGATCTGTCGTGAGAGAGCGTAGAACTCAAGAGTTTCGCACGTGGCCGCTATAGAAAGCGTAGCCGTTGACGCACGCGAGATCGCGAGAGAGACAGAGAGAGAGAGAGAGAGAGAAAAATTGATGGTTCTCCTGCACAGCGACAGGAACATGATAATCCGCAATCGGCGCTTTCACCAAGCGACGATAGCGCGCGTTTGGAAAACGCGTCCGTGAGATACGCTCTCCTCGTCGCGGTCGTTCTGTTTTCTTATGTAAGCGCGATCCCCGATAGGCTATACTCTCGGAAATGCAAATTGTCCTTTTTATAAAACGGGAGTATGCGCGGAAGTGATGAACGTAGATGCACATGTCGTTTTAATTTAATGGCATGTAACCAATTAAAGATGCTAAAATAACATAATTGACATACATTAGAAGCGGAAATATCATCGAGCTTAGGCAAATCGCGCCTGTCAACATAAATTATAGTCGTATGATAACACCAGCGAGACATTCGTAATTATCGATTAGATGTTGAATTATTATCAGATTAGATTAAATTATTAGATCTTGCGCGACACGATATTTTCGTTCTCGATATCGCGACACGTGTATATACACGCATGAATTTTCATTGTATTTGGTAGGAAAATTCTATGGTGTACACAAAAATCGGAAGAACTTGCGATGCATCGCTATATCCATTATGTCGCGTCGCATATCTCGTATCTCTTTCCAATTGCAACGCTGCACGTACGTGTACGTCATTAACGTGAGAGCACGTCCGCGGGCTTCGAGAAGTGAGGAAACGATACGAGTGTCGAATACATTAACAATCGCGACGAATAATCGCTTACATCGCCGCCTCGCGTCGTGTAAATGCGCTCCGAAATGTCGTTAAATGATACAACGAATCGATTCATCTTCGATAAACAGAGACGACGCTACTCTTTTGATCGATTTCTAAACCAACAAATTATCGTTTTACAAGTACTGCGACCTATGTTTCAAGACTTTTTGATAAATTTATTTTTTGACGACTAAATTGAAACGAGAATAATTTATGAAAAAACTAATGTTGATGTAATACCGTAAAATTCGCAATTTTTTTACAAAACAACCAATTGCATTATTAAATGTAAAAATAAAGAGCTGCAATCTTAAAGTATTACATAAGAATATCGATGGTTGCATCTGTGCAACACGATAAGATGGGCAATTGTTTAGGTTGCTCAATCCTCTTTAAGAGTTTCACCCCTCTGTAAATGGCGAATATTGAGGCATATAGACTTCCTTACTTGTATATACAGCGCGAGTTACTTGCGTTGGCTGGTTACTTAATGTCGAGATACTATCGACACATCCGGGGTTGTCATCGTACGACGCGGTATTTGCTCGATTCGTTTTCCCCTTTCCCCCTTTCGTTCTATTCGGTTCTTCGGTTCTTTTCGTCCCTTCCTTCGCACTGTGCGGGTCCTCATTAACGTGCCAGCTTGTTTGCCGTGAGATATCATCGTGGACGTTCTTTTTTTTTCGGTCGCCTCTCCCATCTTCGCGATGACTGACAACAACATCATCGGCGGACCTAATTTGTATTCCATCATTCGTTGAACGACAATCACGCGGTGGTTTTCCGTGCTGTAGCTCGCGAGCAAACGTTTCTCCGAATTCTCCGGCGATACATCGTATTTTACAGGAAATTGTCGGCGCTAATTGTTGCTTTGGCGATAACTGACAAAATTTTCGAATCGTACTTTCGGAAATACTGCTTGGAAAAAGTTATTATGAGTTCGGTTCGAAACCGCGAGTATCGCTTAAGAGAGATACAAACTGGTACACATCACACATTTATTCTAGATCAATGGACATACGTACAATAAAAATCAGAATGCGAGCGATACATTTGACATTCGTTTTTTTAAATGTTCACCGCCGCACGACATTTATGTCGCCTCATCCATCGTCCAAGCGACACTTTCATGAAAGCTTCGATGGAGACGTCACGTGTGTCAAGCCCGCGGAATGTTTTCCAGAACGGGGCTGGAAACGCGCGCCGTCCGCGTCGCGCCGATACGTGGGAAGAGGACGGCTCGGGGCATTAACATATCGTGTCGCAATCGCTCGCGGATATAAACACGTTCCTCCTCGCAGTGGTTATAAAAGATTCTATCTCCTGGCCTGGCTGACCGATCGCGATACACGGCCGTCGAGGAACTATGCGCGCCGTGTGTTATGAACGAGGTAAATATACCGGCACATACGGCGACAGTCGTGGCGGCTCTCGTAAAATTTATCTCGCGTGCGATACCCCGCGATACTTTTGTTTTTCGCCAACGTACGAAGTACGAACGTTAATTCCCTTCTTCACCTTGCTGACCAAATATGCCCGCTCCCACTTTTTCCAAAAGGAGCGACAATGTTTCGTTTCCTACCACGCATTGATGCTTTGCCTATAGGTTTTTTTTTTTCATTTTTGCATTAATCATATCGCACTCGACGATCATAAACGTATAATACGTAGCACGATCGTTAAACATACTTTGTGCAGATGACGACAGTTGTTTTAAATCATCTGTTATCTAATCTGCGAATATGTTTTCAAAAGCATTTAGAGAGACGCGTTGATAAAATATGTTGAAACATTAATGCGTTATGAAATTAAAGTTTGTTTACTTACTTTAAACATTGAAATAAAAATGACGTTGGAACTAGAAGATTTGGCTCATTATATTCTCAATATAATGAGAGTAGAATATCAGCGCCGAGTTATCTTTTCGAGAGCCTTTCGTTAAGTTAATGGAGCACCGCCGATTAACATCTCACTTCGAACACGATTTACCATCTCTGAAACGATCTCGTGCCGGTATCGATCGTTCTATCTTTGGAATACGCACTATCGCTCGAGCGACAAGCAAACAGAGAATCTTCCGCTCTTTTTTTTTTCGTATTCGAACACTTTCGAGCAGATTGGGTCTTTCGATTCGGAACCGGGTCCTGTCAACCGACGACTGTCCCTTCGTAACAATCTTCGACTTTTCGTGCCTTTCGAGAGATCCTTAATCGACGGTTCGTCGGACTTGGTCTCTACCGTCTTGACTTTTT